GGAGGCAATGCTTAGCCTCATGCAAGAAGGGAGGTAGAGCTTAACCTCATGCAAATGATGAGAAGGTGGTGAGAAAGTCAAGTATTTCTTATTAGGAGGTGTCTGCGCTAGGTAATTTGTCGTCATGAAGGTAGTGACTTGATGTATCTGCGGATAATGTTGTTTTATCGTACCTACATCCAAAGAAAAATCATGAGTTTTGTGGGGGGAAGGTCGGTTCATGCTTTTGTCTTCTTGCTCGACCTTTGCTCATGTCTTGGGATCCTGTTTGAGTTACCGTGGGCAACATTTGGCTGTCATAGAAAGAAAAGTTTTTGAAAAATATGCAATGCATTTGAAATTTTTTTTCGAAAAATATGCAATGCATTTGATAAATATAGTTATTTGAAATGTAGTAGCATGCGACATCAAATAATTTAGATGAACCGGTGACTGTGACACATTTTAGAGACATTGCGACCTCCTTGCCTCAGAATTTTGAGGGCCCCAGCTTTAAATGCATACTTCTGACAATACTTTTGGTTGTTCCGCATATGACAAAGTTGGCTGAACTTGCGATCTTGCCCTAGTTTCTGATCGTGGGGAGAATGAAGATTTTATTAATATGTGACCAAACCCACAGGGCTGCTACCATGCCTATAGGATTATACTAGCTTATGTTCTACTGATCTTCATCTAGAAATCCTGCGTATCGGACTTTAATTGGTTGATTTTCTATTGTTATCATACTGCTTACCTAGAAAACATGCCTATAGGGGCTAAGTATAAAAAATATCAACTGCAATCATTAATCGTTGGAAATCCCGCCTATAGGGTATTACTACTCGCTTTAAAGTGTTAATGCTGAACTTTCCAAACATTGTTTCATTGAACCATGCCACTATTAGAAAGCATGCCCATAGGATAAAACTGAGCAATTCTGAGTATTTCCAATGGTTATCACTTCCAACCACTGCATAAATCACCTAGATATCATATCTATAGGTTTAATCACTTATAACCTGTAATTGCAATACTAGATACCCCTAAACTGTATAGTTGTTTGGAAATCATATTTATAAGTTTAAAGCGGCATTTTGCATCTGAAACTGCCTGCACGTTTAAATCCAAGGTCACATAGAAACCATGTCTATAGGGCTTAATGTCTTTAATTCACCTCGATTTTGAAACTTTCTAATGCCTAATGTGAGAACCTGTTTTGCCTGTATTTGTTGTTTAAGTGTGGAGGCTAACTTGAGCCCTTAACTGCCCTTACATGAAGTCCAATTTGTTTTGTATGTCGCCTAGTTTTATCATTTTGAGCAGCTTAAGTAAAGTCTAGAACCACCCTAAATAGAGGTCCAATGCCTCCTGGACCATAGATACGGGACGGACAATGCACGCATAGGGTACGACTTAGAATTGAATTAGAGGGCTTAAGTAAATAACTTTAACATAGTAATCGGGTAGCAAGAGATGATAGTTTGTGCCCGCTGAATATTATGAGTAATTCCCCACCTCGAGGGAGTTGCGAAGTATTATTTATGTTGCACGGGGTGATCCTTTAGGCTAAAAAACTTAGGACCCCCCCCCCTTCTTTATACATTTAGCCATCTAATATAGGTCGTCATAGTTATATCCTTGTAATCCTTATTTCTCATCGTATTATAATAAATTTCTTTGACCCTTACTCTCTTTGTTTATCTTGCCTATTTTTAATCCACATAATCTTAAGTTCGGCCGGGACCCACAGTTGTGGATCTCGAAGAGTTCCTAATACCTTCTCTTTGAGGTAATTTGAGTCCTTACCCGATCTTTGGTGGCGTTGACTAGTCAAACAAAGTCATCTACATAGTAGGTGCCCTAACGCACCTAAAAACAGTTAGGTGGCGACTATTCTTCTTTTAACACTCTATCTCCCATCCAAAAGAGTTGTCAACACGTCAAAACCCGTTTTTGTGAGAAAAACGAGGAGCAACAACTAGCACCTTTTAGCTTTTTGATTTAGTCTAAAAGCGTTGAATTGTGTTCCCGAAATCGATAAAATGTGCAAAATTGTAGGAATGTTGGAAATTGGACCTCCGAGATGAAATTCGACTCAAAAAGGAGTAATCTAAATACAAGGCAATAAAAGGCACAAAAGCTCACAAAGTACGGACCGCAGAATTCAATCTGCGGCCGCAAATAATGAAGAAAACCCCAGCAGGCTTTCTAGCAAACTGTGGACCGCACAGGAATTATGCGACCGTAAATGACGAACTGGAGATCAACTTCAGAGGGTTGCAAAATTTCCAAAGTCCAAATCCCGCAAAATTGCAGACCGCACAAGAATTGTGCGGCCACAGATGAAGTGCCTTGCGGCCGCAGAAGTAAAGATACGGACCGCAGAAGTCCAAATTGCGGCCGCAGTGATAAATTTGCGGACCACAGAAATATTGCCTCGTGGCCGCAGTTGAGAATTGTGCGGCCGCAGAATCCCAACTCCTGCAAGATGAAGTATTCTGCGGACCACACATGGAATTGTGCGGCCACAGAACCTCCCGAAGGGCATTTTTGTCTGAAATTTCCAGCCTTGTATAAATAGACGAGTTTCACAAAATTAGGTCAACTTTTGACATCAGCAACTCCTGTAGCCGTTTTTCTTTGCCTCTTTTGGAAGTTTTCTATATTTTGGAGTCTTTTACTATAAATTTTATCATTTTAACTTTACAATATGAGTTTAATTTGTATTTCTTCTTCTATTTCTTCAATTTCAAGCATGAGTAGCTAGATTTTTACTAGGGTTGTGACCCAACCCTAGTGTGTTAATCTTATGGGTATCTAATTTAGTGCTCGTTTATGATTGGGTGTTTATTATTTAGCCTTGTTCATGCTTTAATTTGTCGAATTAATAGTTATAAACATTAGTTCATGCCTATTTGACTTAGTCTCTACTTGAGAAAGAGAGATTTAGTCTAGGAAAACTTGGCTAACAAGAAATTGGGTCAATCGAGAGATTGATTAACCCAATTAAAGGGTTCAACCTAGAGATAGTAATAACCCGACTTGAGTTATTATCAATCGCTTTGTGTGATACCCATTTGGACTTGAGAAAGCCAAATTGGGCAAAACTACTCCTTGACCGAGAGGTACTGAGTGGGTAATTGAGAGTTGATAGCTATAATACACCCCGGTCAATAAAACAAGCATTAAGGTTTATATCCCATTAGGCGAACACCTAGGCGATGGCCATAGCTTTAGGCTTTTTACAAACTTGAAAAACAACAAAAACAATTATCCTAGTCTTATTTCTTTACTTTGCAATTTTAGTTTTAAAATAGAAAAAGAAACAAAACCAATTTGTGGAAGTACAAATTAAGATAGTTCAAATTCACGCACTAGAATATATACACTTCTAACTCCCATCTAACTCCCTGTGGATTAGATCCCGTCTCTTTGTTGGGTTACTATAATTGCAATCGACCGATTCATACCTTGTATTGAGGTGTGAATTGTGCGCAATAGGTCAGTCGCAGAGGAACGTCTTCTCTTTGGTTGCTTGTTCTCTGGCCGGGGACTCCGTGAAGAAACGTTTGCACCCGAAGCAGGGCCGGAGATGTGTGTTTGAGTAAGTGCCTCCTGGAGTAGCCTTGCCGCATCATCAGGGTCAGCTAAAGCATCCTCCTGGGGGACATCAACTGAGCCCGCATGTAGACCTAATTTCACGAACAAGTTAGAAGGGGTCAACCAAGTTCTTCATATACAAAAAGTGGAAATAAGGTAAAATAAAGTTACCATGATTTTTTGTGTTCCACCCGTATTTAAGGGACAGTTCTTTCCACAAACAAGTTTCGGGCGTTGTGATATCCTAAATCTTCTGAACCCATCGGTCCAAGCCTTATACCATCGGTGGGGTCCATCAAGTCGTTGTAACGTACGGAGGTTGAAGGATCAATACATGCATGAAAGAATATTTAGTAAGAGAAAGTGTATTAAAGGAAACTTAAAAGAACGGTTCCAAGCAACCGGAAAGGATGAAGTCGTTGTTGGAATAATGTCATTGGTGGCAACTGCAACAAACCATTCCATCCACCCACGGTCATTGTCATCATCCATGCTAGTTAACAAAGCATGGTGGCCACGTTTACAGAGATTTATCATACCTCTCCGAAAAATTTTGGAGGAATAAAGGTTCATCATACGAGCTAAAGGTTCATCCACCCCAGTTTCCTGACACAGGCGTCGAAGGCAAGCAACCGTCCTCCTTACTGAAGGGCTCACCTGTGCCAAGCACACTTGGTAGCGAAGGCAAAATTCTACAATCACGGGATCGAGCTCTCCGCTAAAAAAAATGCACCCAAAGTAAAGGGATACGTGAAAGAATATGTAAAACCTTCCTTGGGAAGGGGCACTCGCTCCGATAAACCAGGAGCAATAATATCTAACGCAGGGAAGCGACAATCCTCCTTCACAGTAGGAATACTGGAAGGACGAATAGAAGAAAGGTACCTTCTAACATCCCATGTGCGAGGGTTAGCAGTAGGAAATTTCTCTTCAAAATCCTTCGAAGTACTAAGTCTTCTTGGGATGATGGAACCCACTGTTGGAGGAACGGAATCCTCGGTTTTGTTCTTTCCCTTTGCAGAACTAGCATGTTTTGAAGAAGAAGCCATTGGAATAGAAGGAAGAAAATTTTCTGGTTCGAAGAAGATCAGAGAAAGGTTGGGAAATAGAGATGCGAGTTAGAAGTTTGAGAAATTATGAAGTACATGAGAGGAGGAGGATGCATATAAGTGAAATTTTGGCGGCTAAATTCATGGCCATGATTACCTCGATAATCGGCAAAAGCTATGCTGAATCGTGGGATGATGCGTGTTCGGGGTATTAAATATGGAGAGACGTGCGTCTAATCAACTGTCAGAAAACTTCAAAGGGAGTTAGAGTAATTCCCGCCAAAAAGGTGCTTTCTACCAACTTCCCGGTAACTCAAGATTGTGTCACCTGAAAGCAGGGGGACTATCTGTATAGGAAAAAATACGACATGACACGTGGCCACTTAAAGGAAGGACACGTGGAATACAAGATGGGGATGGCCACCGAACATAGCTGTTGCGCTTGTCACCGAAAGGAATAACGACCATAAAAAGAGTATTAAATGCTTTGCGCCTGGTAACATTTAATACAGAATATTTTGCAGCAGTAAGGATGATAACCCGTTACAAGGAATTTGACATTTATGTCTAACATTACATCTTCATCGATGAACCTCATAATTGACATTAAAGAAGGGCATACTCCTAGGACTTCCTTCCCTAGATATAACTATAAATAAAGAGCTCATTTATCATTGTAAATGACAAGAATTTTATAGCGAACTTACATTACATTTTATACAACATTTTAATACAATTTTATCTTCTCGCTTTTGATCTTATCATTGTTATGCCCGGAAACCTTGTTCCCGAATTCATCAGCTCTGTCGTTCCATCTATATTGTAAGGCTAAGTATTATATTTCATTATCTTTTGAATCAAATTAATTCATTTGTTTAGAAATCACAAACAAATTCAACATACCGTTTTACGGGTAAACAATACTGATGCAAAAGATCAGCACGAATGTGCAATACCCCTTTTTCCGGCACATTCTGACATCTCATTCGACCCAGGAATACAGCTGAAATTTCCTTTTGCCACTGGAAAAGCTGTCAACCGTTTCTTCAACATCTGATTTGCATATACATGTAGTCACCAAGTAATTAGAGGAAGCATAATACGAGCAGATAACCCTGCACAATTTCGAAATATTCTGAATTGATAGAGGAAGCATAAACCTTACAGAAACATAAGAAGAGTAACTATATGTTGGCCCCCGATTTCTGATCTTGTTGAATTCACCAAGAAAGTTGTCATACTGTAAACAATCAAATATAAATATAAACCCAATGTTTTTTTTTTTTGGNCTTCATGGCAGTACACACGGGAAAGCAAAGAATAATATAATGAGCCCCATACACAATATATACAAGCCTGCATAAAACACTTTTTATTTTTCTAAAACAAATATTATTGACTCCACTTTCCAACATGTGGAAAACGTTTGACTAAACAATCAAATACAAATATAAACCCAATGTTTTTTTGGGAGGGTGGTGGTGGTGGTGTCCTGCTAGATCAAGATAGTAACTGCACCAGATGACCCGCATTTGAGTGCAAAGGACATACTATTTCAAGGTTTAGCTATAAATATTATTATAGAAAAGAAAAAATAATAGTAGTACAACACCCAACTCTGTTTACAGCTTATTTTATTTTCTTCTAATTTCTAATTTCCATATTTTATTTTTAAAATATTACTGTAATAAATTTGATGTTAAAATTTAGTAAATTTGATCCTAATATTAGACAAAGAGGGCTACGTCAAAATATTGGATAATATATTATTATATATGATATAAAATTTATACTCCCCTCTCCCTATCAATCAGTCAGTCCAAAAAAGAAATTAAAAAAAAAAAAAAACTTAACGGAACTTTGCATTTTTAGTCCTGTAATATTAATTAATTTTTAATTTATCCTTATGGTATCTGGTAAACATATTTAACATTTAATTAATTTTTGCTTGTGATTTTTCGCAAATTTACAAGCAAAAAGATAAGATGGCGCATATGTTATGTTAAATTTATACCGTTACTCTCAAAAGGATTACATGGAGTATGTGGTATGTTAAATTTTTATAATTACTCTACGTTTGAGTAAAATATAATTTCTAAAGATAATCCAAATATAACATATCTTTTATGTAAAGGAACAAAAATAACACACATTTTAATTGATTTAAAAATGAATATATTTAGTGAAATATTATATGAACCAAAATCAGAATTTATAAATAATTGAAGGATGGGAAGTGCAATTATCCTAAAAACTTATAATTAGCTTTGACCTGTGGCAAACACATCCTTACAAAAGTCAAAGACACAATGTGTGACCAAATCATTTGGCTTCAAGCTAATAAAAAATGGATCCCTAACCTTTTTGTCTTTTGTAGCTCTTATATTATGTGTTATGTCATATGTGTGACAATTAGATTAGCCGTCCACATCGAACCACACCGAATGCAACGGAGATTTTAGGCTTTCTTGATCTTTTACAATGTTGAATTTAAAAAAATATCTTTTTAGATCTTTTATGTGTAAATGAAAAAAAAAATTACGTGTAAAAGTAAATCTCTTATGTATAAAAAAAGAGATAGGGTTGTAAAACTAAAAATAAGTTTGTAAAAGGCAATGCAACATTACTTATAGCTAATTGCCAGGAAGTACTCCAAAATCCAAATATCCTTTAATGGAAATTGAAAAATATCGAAGAATTATGCAACTTTTGATTAATCGGATCAATAAATTTTAAATATCAAACAATAAACAAAAAAACAAGTCTTGCTTACCTTATTTGTTCGTTTTAGATAGGCTCGCGGTCGATCTCTCTCGAGAGAGCGTGGGAGAACATAAAAGAGATGGATACTTCTTGGAATAAGTACTACACTTGTAATATAACGGGGAGTTATAGTTATAACCATTAGACAATAACTTTATATCATGCTTATTTACGTTAGTAAAGTTAATTGAGTTCTAATACTCTTCGTTTATAATTTTAAATAAAAGCAACATCTCCTTTAACTTTAATTTTGCTTACTTATAATTTAAAGTAATCAATTTCCCACTTGAATAGCAAAATATATAAAGATATTAGACAAATAAAGAATTCATCGATTGAGTAATGAGTAGTAATTATGTTTTTCTAAAAATCATTTATAACACCAACTAGCGAAAATCTTACTAACGAAAAGTTAGACAATTCAAATTAAGAGAAGTATGATAATCCAAAATATGGCGACACATATAGGGTTGCGACATGGGAATAAGAACAAACTATCTACTCAGTCTACAAGTTGATTTAGCACGGAGTTTCCAACACTACGTACAGCGTAGAATACAACTTTGGACTTTTGTAGTTGTTTTGGTTATAGCATGACGAAAATAAGCATTAGTTTATTTAGTCAAAGCAACAGGTCCCGTTGCTTTGGTCAATTTGGTTTTGCTCGGTTTTGTAATCTCAATTTGACTCTTTCGCTTATATATGATTGCATAATGTTCAAATATTTTTTCTTTGTTAAACATCTCTGTCTTGAAAAACTATTTTTTCTAAATTATTTTTTGATATGTGATAAGGTAGGCAGCTTACACATCAAAGGGTTTGATCCAGCTAGCGATCAATAAAGTAAATAGAAATTTGTGCAGGAGGTAGGGGTGGATTTAGGAGCGGAATGAGGTTCACCCGAACCCTTTCGCCAAAAAATTACACTGTATATATAAGGTTGTCACAGCCAAAATTCCACATTAAGGATCATGATGGCACCTAGTCTCTAAAACTAGGTAAGCCGATCACTTATAACAGTTAAACCAATAAAACATGATATGACGAAGCAGAGTTTAATATAAATGCAGAAATAAATGTGATACAAGCCAACACGATGGTAATCACAACAAATTCCCATGACTAGGTAGTATAGAGTCACGAACTCTAGCAGAATACGTAGTAATACCTCAAAATACAATACTGTTAGAATAGCAAATTGACAGTATAATTGTAAGGAAAGGACTTCAAGAGACTGCGACGATCAAAGCAGCTCTACCTTGAATCCTCACGATCAAGAAGCTCTCACTGCCTGAATCTGCTATCTCCAACACCTGGATCTGCATGAAAATGTGTAAAAGTGTAGTATGAGTACATCACAGTCGCTACCTAGTAAGTATCAAGACTAACTTCGATGAAGTAGTGACAAGGTTCAAGTCAAGACACTCACTAATCAAATACCCTGTGCAATATATCAAAAATCGGCAAAAAGAAAAAGGAAATAACATAAAGTAATAACGGTAATCTCATCGAATTAAGCGATACCCATTTAAAATAAATAAAAGTCCCATTCCGTGTCATCAAATAGAATCACACACATGGTACCTCATGCCCACATTATCAATCACCCTCGCATGACAAAGATCTCGTGCCACAACATAAAATATATCCCGCACGACAAAGACCTCATGCCACAATATAAGTCACACTCGCACGACAAAGATGTCGTGCTTCACATATACCACAACTGCACGGTAAAGACCTCGGTCCAATCACCAATGACACACTCAAGAGGAATTCATCAAGAATAAAATAAGGCAAAGCATGATATATATAGCCCGCCTTATCTCGCCGCATGCATATTAGTAATATCCCACCATATCGCACCACATGCGCAAACCCGATATATATAGCCCGCCTTATCTCATCGCTATTGTGCTACTATTATTAGTAATATCATACCATATCTCACCACATGCGCAAACCCGATATATATAGCCCGCCTTGTCTCGCCGCATGTGCAATATCAACAATAATAGTAGCCCAGCAGAAACCTCGCGCAAACACCCGAACAATCCGCCCAACAAGTCCACATGTGGCATAATCATAAAAACATAGCATGTCAATAATTTTCAACGAGACATAAACTCACAATTTTCTAACGCAATGCATAAGGACAAACCAATAAAGGAGATGCGGATGGGTGTTCAACATAATAACATGAATTCAGCTAACACAATTTAGCAAGCATTTGACAAACGCCCAACTTGGCCAATTTAGGAAAATGATCTCTAACATGGAACATGAACTCAAGTAATCATCCCTAGTAAAGACACGTACAACAAAGACCTCACAATCAAAACAAAGCAATAACAGTAATCTCGGATCACATCCGGTCATAAAGCACATATACAACTGTGTACACACTCCTCACCTCGTGTACACGTTGTTTACACATAACACAATTAAGCAATTAAGCCAAATTTTAAGGGGTAATTCCCCCACACAAAGTTAGACAAGATATTTATCTCAAATTGCACAAATCAATACTCAAAAAGCTTTTCCTTTAAAGTTCCCCTCTGATCAGCTCAAATCTAACCAAAATCGATTTAATAACATTCAACCAATGCAAGAGAAACCAATTTCAATTGATAAAGATAGAATTTTTACATAATTCCCAAAAAGTAAAACCCGGGCTCGCCCGGTCAAAACCCGAGTCGAAGGATAGATCTTGACTAACCATGGTCCTATGAGTCCAAATATGTGTTTGGTTTTAAAATTTGAGTCCAATTCGACCCTCAAATCTTAAATTTTTATTTTTTCAAAACATACACAAAAATTCCCAAAATTTCTCTTCAAAACTCATGATTTAAATGTTAAATCTCATAAATAATTATGTCATATAATAAAAACTGAGTTAAAATCGCGTACCCAATGACTTTGTATGAAACTTTCCTCCTAAAATCGCCTCCCATCGAGTCCACGACACAAAAATATGATAAATGAACTTAAGTCCCAAAATCCCAGGTATATGATCAGCTGCAGATGTCGCATTTGCGACCGAAGGTTCGTAAATGTCACTACCGCAAATGTGACTGGAGAATCGAAAAAGCGAACTCTGCCCTACCATAGGAAATGTCACAAATGCGACTAACACTTCACAAATGCGATGTCAACTACCCACATAAAAGCGACCAAGAACTCCGCAAATGTGAGTTCCACTATTCCCACCCCCATCACAAATGCGATAATCCCTTCGCAAAAGCGAGGTTCCAGCTGCCCACTCGACTGTCGCAAATGCGACCAAACCGCCCAGGCAGTCCCACTTTGCAAATGCGGCCAAACCTCCGCAAATATGGGCATCGCAAATTCGAGCAGACCTCGCATTACCTTCGCAAATGCGAGGTCTGTAGCACCAGCAATCTGAAGAAATGATCAAATTATCCCGAAACACATCTGAAACTCACCCGAGCCCAGGGGATCAGCATCAAACATCAACACAGGTATG